ATAGTTGGGAGTTCATATTTTTACATAGAATCTATAACTATCGTAAAAGGCGAATTTTATGCTATGTGTTTGTATTTTTTTTTTTAAACCTAGGATAACCAACCTATTTCATAAAGAAGAACATCTGTGGTTACTTACAGGGTGAGAATCATGTCTGTTCGAGAGTCCTTTAATCCAGAAAGTTACGAACTTGACAAAACTTTTCGGTTAACCCGATTCACGGAACTTAAAGGCACCGGCTGTAAAGTGCCTCAGGACATTTTGCAGAAATTGCTTGAATCCTTACAAGAAAACCACTTCCAAGAAGATGAACAGTTTTTGGGGGCTGTTATGCCAAGATTGGGTAAGAATACCTTTTACTGGTTATAATTGTTTCTTAGATCTTTGATGCACATTATTAAAGAGCGGAACATAAAGACGCCTCGATTAAAAATCTTCTACCTAAAACCATATGGGAACATATCGGCAAAAAACTGTTGTGGTCTGGCTCAGATGTAAGGCAGCTTCCTTTAGTTACGTCTCAGATAGTAATATGAAAACTGTTGGATTCCATAACAATTTTAAAACCTTTGACTTTCCATTTTATAACAAAAAGCATTTATATGCAAGATTATTGCCTTAATGTATGAAAATGCTGTTAAGTGTAAATCTTTTTATAGGTATGTTTTTTATTTTTAATCTTAAAATGGGAGTCTTTTTTTTAAAAAATTATATCCTGCTAATGGTGAATTTAGTCCAGAGGTCTCCAACCTTGCCGGTCTCGCGGACCAGAGGAAAGGAGAGCAGCTTCAAAATTGATGCACGTGCATATGGGGCCACGCACACTGGTGCGGTACTAGCAGTCCCGTTCACACATGCAGCATGTGCTGGCACCATGCGCATACGGCCACACAGCCCATTCACGTATGCGCGAATGGGCCACACAAATCACTCGGGCTAGCGGGCGCATGCGCAAATGGGCTGCGGACACTTGCGCCGTGTTAACATCCCCATTTGCACCCGCACACATGTGCAAATGGGGCTGTGGGCACTAGCATGAGTGGGGGGGATGCGCGCACTGGCCAGCCATCGCTGGCCGAGAGCCTGAAGCCTGGTCCCGGGCCACGGCCCATAGGTTAGAGACCCCTGATTTAGTCCATGTTAATTATTTTTGTGTTTTTCTGATTTTGGTGCATCTGGCTTGGAGACATATAAGTGAAAAGGCAAACGATATTAAAAACCAAAACCATATATTGGCTTTTACCTTAGCATCCCAGGTACAGGTAGTCCTCAGCTTACGATCATTCATTCAGCAATTGTTCAAAGTTATGTCTATTGCAGGACCCCCGTAGTCATGTGATCAAACTTTGAGCAGTGTAAAATGAATTCCATCTGAAAGTTGAGGACGAATCACGTACCTATCTATTTTTTGCTAACTATATAATATTCCTTCAATAGAGGAGTTTTGATGCAGGTTCTCACATTTGGACTAATTTAAAAACTTATTCTTTTTTTTAGAGTGTGGAAAATAGAACAGGTTTGCAGGACAAATCTGTCTGTTAAATTCATCATGGAAAGAGGGGGGATTAGAGTATCTAATGATGATATATGATCATTAGGTATGATATAAAGAAAGAACTATATTCCTAATAATGTGGCAGTCAGGCGATTTATCAAATATTGGTAGGGCTGCTGCTGAAGGAGGAAACATCACCAGTTCTTAAAATTTGTGAAGAGTCCTCGGGAAGACAGTGCTGAAGAGCGTAGCAGCGTCGATGAGAAAAGAAACACAACTATCATTCGTTGCTTTCAGAGTTGCACTAGGATGTGCGCAGTTTGGATTACTCTATACCAGGGGTAGGCAACCTTGGCTCTTTTATGACTCGTGGACTTCAACTCCCAGAATTCCTGAGCCAGCCATGCTGAGGGGAAAGGGAGGGGTTTCCAAGCTGAGCCATGCTGGCTGAGGAATTCTGGGAGTTGAAGTCCACAAGCCATGAGGGGGCCATAGTTCCGCCATGCTGGCTGAGGAATTCTGGGAGTTGAAGTCCACCAGTCATAAAAGGGCCAAGTTTGAAGACCTCTGGTTTAATACTTAAATATTTTTTCCTTATGGTCACGTGATCAAAATTCAGGCATTTGGGCAACCTTGGCTCTTTTATGACTCATGGACTTCAACTCCCAGAATTCCTGAGCCAGCCATGCTGAGGGGAAAGGGAGAGGTTTCCAAGCTGAGCCATGCTGGCTGAGGAATTCTGGGAGTTGAAGTCCACAAGCCATGAGGGGGCCATAGTTCCGCCATGCTGGCTGAGGAATTCTGGGAGTTGAAGTCCACCAGTCATAAAAGGGCCAAGTTTGAAGACCTCTGGTTTAATACTTAAATATTTTTTCCTTATGGTCACGTGATCAAAATTCAGGCATTTGGGCAACCTTGGCTCTTTTATGACTCGTGGACTTCAACTCCCAGAATTCCTGAGCCAGCCATGCTGAGGGGAAAGGGAGAAGTTTCCAAGCTGAGCCATGCTGGCTCAGGAATTCTGGGAGTTGAAGTCCATGAGTCATAAAAGAGCCAAGGTTGCCTACCCCTGGTCTATACACTAGAAATAGAAAGGAAATTACAAGAACAGGCCAAATTCTGAAAATAAAACAAGTTACTTTTATTACAGGAATTGGCATGGATACGTGTGTTATTCCTTTGAGGCACGGAGGCTTGTCTTTGGTCCAGACAACAGACTACATTTATCCCATTGTGGACGACCCTTATATGATGGTAAGATGCCTAAAAATGTTTGCCGCTTTTTGTCAAATAAGAACTGTGGAGAAATGGGGATAGAGGAAAGACCATTGATTTCACCTGGCTTTGGTTTGATCTTTCTCAGTTTTCTCTGGAGCTACCAGACCTTTGAAGAAATTCCCTTTTTTTCCCATCTGGAGAGTGATCTTGGCTTGAGCATTTAAATTATTTCAACTCTTAACTAAATAAATGATGGCCTTATACAATGGTATCTTGGTACTCAACTGCTTTGAAATTCATCAGATTTGGTACTCGACGCATTTTGACGTGAAATTTTTTGTCCCAGTACTCATCATTTGTTCGGTACTCAATGTGCCAAGCTAGAACTTGTCAGTGTCGACTGCCTTGTGACTCACTACATCAGGTGTCATTACGGGCTCTTGGCCAGCGGGCCGCGGAAATGGCTGGCCGGTGCACGAACGCGTGGACGTGCATTCCCCCCCCCCCGCTCGCCTGGATGCAAACAGGGACGCTAGCACGAGGTGGGTGTCTGCCGCCCGTTTGCGCCTGCGCAGCTAGCCCGGGTGGTTTATGCGGTCGTTCGCACATGCACACGGCACCAGCGTATGCCACATGCACGAACGAGGCTGCTAGTGCTTCGCCAGTGTACGTCGCCCTGTGAATGCATGCGCATGCACCAATTTTGAAACTGCTCTCCTTTCCTCCGGTCCGCAAGCCCATAAAGGTTGGAGACCTCTGCACTACATTATTCCTTATGGGAAAGATTTGTTTGGTACTCATTGTTTTTGGTATTCATTTTGCCTCCCGGAACCAATTTACGATGAGTACCGAGGTACCACTGTATAAGGAATTCAGTAGTAGTCTGTTGTATTCAGGTAAACCTTCAGAGCAAAAGATTTTAACAATTAAAAAAATCAGAATTTACTAGTTTACCCAAAGAAAAATAATACACAGGGAATTTCTGTTTGCTACTTAAATTCTGTCTCTTATTGACTATACCAAATCACACTACTGGTCCCAAAATGTGGTCTGTGACGAGGCCCACGAAGCATAGGACCAGGCAAAATATTCAGAGGGTTTTTTTAGCAATGGATATTAGTTTAAACCATGTGCATTTCTGGTGGTGCCCCCTGGAGCTCTTAATACAGCTGCTTTGCTTTGCCAGAAGAAATATCATATGTGCAGTGAACTTACACGCTACCTGAGAAAGCCTGTGAAGCAACCATTCTGAGCTTTGTAAATCTGAAAAAACAAAGCTGCCAGAGCGATTTAGATAATTTTTATCCGCGTGCGCTTAAATGCTTTGCACGTTCCTGTGATGCATTGTTTTTGTTTAAAACAAAACATTTTTTTTACGTACGTTGTTTTTCAAGGTTTGTTGGTTTTCTTGTTGGTTCTGTTTAAGATTGCTTTAATGGTTAAAACTGTTTTCCATCCCAGTAAGTAAATAAATTGGTGTCATGCTTTTTGTTTTATTATTCATTACCCTTCTTCCATCTACCATCTCAAATTTCAGTCTCTTTTTAAGGTTGTCTTAGAAAGCAGGTTGAGCATTAAAATAACAATTCAATGAGAATTGTTTGTGTTGCTTTTTTCCAGGGACGCATCGCCTGTGCCAATGTCCTTAGTGATCTTTACGCCATGGGAGTTACCGAATGTGACAATATGTTGATGCTTCTTGGCATCAGTAATAAAATGACAGATAGGGTAAGTTCCTTAAATTGTGATGACAAGAAACGCTAATATATTACTCAGTGTACCTACAAATTAACATTGCACAATAAAAAGTAAATGATAATAATTTTAACCCTCATAATTTTAACAATTCATTCTATCCATTTCAGAACTGGTAATAAAATACATTGAACGGGCGTTTATTCTGATGCTCATTATTTTATGACAACGTATAATGTTCTAGATCTGAATTAAAAAGACTTCCATGTTTCCTCACAGAATTTGGGAGGCAGTTGCACAAGAAAGTTTAAATAATTGAGTGAGGGAGAGAAAAGATCACTTCATCTTTATCTAACACTTCTAATAACTCACGTTAGAAAGTTGCGACGGGAGGTGGGAGTCACACACTTCCGTAAGCCGCCATGCATTTTTACCATGCTTGGCTGCACAAGCTCTCTAAGGCAGTGGTTCTCAACCTGTGGGTCGGGACCCCATTTGGGGTCGATCGACCATTTCACGGGGGTCACCAAGCAAGGCTGTCTGCCATTTTTTTTGTCCGCCATTTTTTTTGTCCGCCATTTTTTTCCCCTTTTCCAGTGGGTGCCTTACCTCCCTTGGGCTGGGCCAGTTGGTGGTCGGCCTGCTCCGTCTCTGCCGCTTGCCAGCTACGCCTCAGCCGGCGCAGGGGGCGGAACCACGCATGTGCGGCACTCCTGGGCAGGGAAAGTCCTCGACTTACGACCGGTTGGGTAGTCCTCGACTTACGACCGGTTTAGTCCTCGACTTACGACTGGTTTAGTCCTCGATTTACGACCGGTTGGGGTCGCGGCATTAAAAAGGTTGAGAACCACTGCTCTAAGGAGAACACATCATTTACAACTCTACTGTGGTTAGCTCTCTAAGGCATAATATGGTTTGCTTGTTCGTAGCTTCACAGGTTGTGTGAACAAGTCATGGAGAACTAGCTTCCGTCCAGCTGAAATAAAATAAAAGGGCTGCTGCACATTTTTGCCAGCTTCCCTTGCAATTTCCAAATAGAATGTTTCTCCAAACTCTGTTGAATGTTTTGGAAACCCAGTGAGGTGCTTTACTACAGGGGTACCTAACCCCGGGCCACACACCGGCACCGATCCACGGCCCGCCAGCAACCGGCCGTGCAAGCGAGCGAAGCCCCGTCCGCACACGTGCAGGATCCAGCCAGCACGTGAAACCACACCCACCCACACGGTCTGAGGGAAAACCACCCTCCACGGAAGGGGTCCCTGGTGCCCAAAAGGTTGGGGGCGCTGTTTTAAAGAAGAATTTGCCAAACTTGGCTGTTCTCATTTAATTTGTGAGAATTGGTCTCATCCAGCCTTTCGAGCGGGACCTATCGATATCCAGCTCTTTTCACTTTACTGGGTTTCGGGGAAGTCTTAAGTTTCAGTTAGTAAACTTGTTTTAATATGTGTTTAAGCAGCTGTGAGAGGATGATTCAACTTTTTAGTAGTGATTGAAATACGAAATTCCTGTCAGCTCTTAATGTATTCGGTAGATGCTTGACTGGGCAATTGATTTTTTTTTTTACCCATTTGGGTTTTGTTTTGTTTTGTTTTCTCTGAAGGAAAGAGATAAAATCATGCCTCTAATTATCCAAGGATTTAAAGATGCTGCAGAAGAGGCAGGAACATCGGTGACGGGCGGTCAATCAGTATTAAACCCTTGGATTGTTTTAGGAGGAGTGGCCACGACTGTCTGTCAGCCTAATGAGTTT